CACAATGGATGAAGACTAAAAAGGAATTGGCCAGCCGACCCGAGAGAGGGTTAACGAAGACTTATCTCTGGATAAGCCCTCTCTACGTCACGGGGAATAATACAGCCAATTATCTTATAGAATCAAATGTAATTCTGATTGCTAATTATATGTAAATAAAAAAAAGTCACAATATCTTTATGTTATGACTCAACCTTTACTCTCGTGACCATAAATCAATAAATGCTTCATTTTCTCTGTGTTTACTTCTAGACCAGCCTCCTTCCTAGCTTCAGACAGAACTTGTGTGTTTTTCTTTATGATATTTCTGTTATTTCCCAATACAGTCACATCGTCGAATAGACAAGGAGCTGATGTGTTCAACCCAATTTCACTCCCACCTGGTTTTCTTGGACCTTCATGTTGTTTATTCCAAACAAAAGTTGGAAACCAGTGGTGATAAATGGATGCTCAATTAAAGTTATAGAAAGGAAGGAAGAAGGGAAGGGAAAATTATAAAAGAGTGGACTTCATAGGTTTCGATACATTGCATAATTTCTTTCGTAATATGAAGTCACAATTTATTTGAAAATACTTACTAAACGGAAATTCCATAGAAAGGAAAGGAACCAAATTCACATAATTTTAACAAACTATTTTCAGGGGCGAAGGGTTTTATAGCCCTTTACTTACCACTTATCGCCCAGACCGCCCAGACAGTGGTCCGCCGCAGACAGCCTGAAGCCAGTTGCTGTTATGTCTCGTGCTAACGGAGACAAAGACGGATCTTACGATATATACTGAGCAGCTCACAGTCCAGGCTTTGTCATGAGACTGCTTCACGTTATTGTGGACTTCCTTAACATATTATCTCTTTCCTTACATAGCTCAACTTCACACATGGAATTTGGCATGTTGTTAAATTTTCATTTGAAGCCAAAACCATAAAATTTCAGTGATATAGAACTTGCACTATTACAACACGAATTCTGTTTTCGAGAGAACTGAGACATGTTTCACTGATTTAGCCACATTGCCGTGCTAGCAAGAAATAATGATAAGTTACTTTCCATTAGAGACCCGTGTACTAACACGGAGGATTTACATACGAGACAGGGTGCATTGAAATTTCTGTTGTCGCCAGTCACAGGTTAGACCGGCTAGACAGTCGTAAATTTGTTTCGGTGTGTCATACACAGGCAAAGTCCTTCGATTTATGCGCTATCTGTCGGAGCAGCACATGTTACTCTCGACTCAAACGACTATCCAAGACGCCGTGGCCCAGCTGCGATCAACAGGGATGGACAAACATGTGACGTTCATTGTGGATATGGCCTGCCAGGGTATGAGCGTCATTCTTGAGGAGGTACAAATAATTTCAAACTCATCTGCTAAGAGCACTTCGTTATGATGTAATACGTGTATTTCACACTTCCCCTTTCGGAACTCTAGTGTTAACTGCTTGTCACCACCGTCACATCAAATACAATCATTAAATAGTATTAAATTCTATTATTAGAAACTAAGTTGTTTTAGAGCAGTGTAGTATGACCATCATATAAAAAAATGCCGCACCATCTTTTTACAGGGTGACAAACTCTCTCACGAACGTTTCCCGGACGCTCATGACTCCTAAGTAGAAGGAATAACACGTGGAGCTGAGCCCTTCTTCAGATGCCGCAATTTGTGAACCCACTCAAGAACTTCCAAGAATTTTATGGAACCAGAAGGTTCATTACCGTGTTAACAAGAACCCTTCACTGGTACCTATTCTGAATCCCCCCCCCCCCAAAAAAAATCAAGCCCATACCATCACATCAGATCTGTCAAAGATCCATTTCATTATTATCCGCCCACCTACGTCCTGGTCATCTTTGTAATTTATTTCCTTCTGGCTTTCCCACCAATATCATACATGCATTACTCTTCTTCCACATTCTTGCTTCATGCCCTGCCCATCTCATCCTCTCCTCCTTCTAATTATACTTGGCGAAGAGTACAAGTTATGAAGCTCCTCATTATGCTGTTTTCTCCAACCTCCCATCGCTTTGTCTCTCTTAGGTCCAAATATTCTCCACAGCATCCTGTTCTCAAATCCCCTCAGTCAATGTAGCTACCTTAATGTCAGAGACCAAGTTTCACACCCATACAAAATAAAAAAAAAATGTTTTTTTGGAAAGCAGACAAGAAGTGACAAGGTTCTGAACTGAATGGTAGCAAGCAATACCCGAGTTCAACCTTCTTTTTAATTTCCTCTTGAATCAGGTTTTGATTTCTTATCGTTCCCAATATCTGAAGTCTCTCACATTTTCAAAACATCTGAAAGTGTGTGGAGGTCCGACACTTCTGGGTTGTTTCATTTCAATTTCCTAATATAATTGATATTGGGGAATCAACACAGATATTTATGTGAAGGCGACTTAAAGAAATAAATCATCCCCATATGTAGATAAATCTACGAAAAAGAAACAACAATATGACGTAAAAGTGTATGATCACGTGTATCTTTCTAAAATTTTGGGTCGCAACATGAATTCAGGTACAGAAGAATTAAATTTAGTGAATAAAATCATCTGTTCCTCTATCCGTGCTATTTATTGGTTCTGTTTTGAAAAGAGTGCTTCGCAGTTGGCAGCACTGCAACAGAATCTCTTTGTTTTGAAGGATGTACGAGTATGAAATCGTTTCTTTCACTTTAATAGAAATATCAGCTATTGCAACGTCTTCACTGCATTTGTTTAGCTCTGTAAGCTAGCAACACGTCACCTCCACACATGCATTACGCACTGGAATTGACATCACGAATATGACTGTTTTAACCTCATTGGGCACTGGAACTTCCTGGTGAGAACATACTTTCACGCACTTTCCTCCCAAAACTTGCAATTTGCATCAGAGTAGCAATGTTGGGTTGAAATGTTGCGAATTCTGTATGCAACCGGTCCCTGACGACCACGGTTTGATATCACAGCACCACCGCACCCTTCCTCGGCTGTCCTTACGTAATTGCACGCAACGGACTGAGGCATTCAGTGTGAGTGACGTGGCTTTCGTCATTAGAGTTGAGCCACTTCATTAGATGAGCGTTTGTATTAGTGCAAGAAGAGAGCTGGGTTTTCTGGGTTTGGTTAAATTCAGTTTCATGAGAAACGCCTCTGTTTTTTCCCAAACATATTTGTTTTTCTTCTGCTTCTCCATGTTACCCTTGAGAACATTCATTACATTGTCACGTATCCGCAGTTTGCGTGACTAATAACACACTTCTGACACAAGTTATGACATGTTCATGGCTGCATGACTAATGGTGTGACAGTATACATTTTTGAATTCTTGAATCCAATAATTCGATCCAATCGATCGATCAAGCAAATCCATACACATCTGACACCAGCAGTCACGTGTTTATGGTTCCGTGACCAATAATAATGGCTGCAGTGTCTCTTAGTCACAATGAATTTCAACGGCTTACATGAAATGACTGCCTAAGACTAACTCCATTCTGACTGGACTACGACTGTCTTTTTCTTCTAGTGTTTCTGTTACTGTGACTAGCTTGGTTCTGATTTACGAATCGCGCACTTCTGCTTTATGAAAGAATTACGAATGAGGAGTGAATCACTTCTTAGCTCCACGGCCGCTTATACAGCGTCGCGTATCCTAGGAAGTATTTGTTGAATGTTCGTTTACACAGAAACGCACTTTGTGCCGAGTTGGTAGCTAGGACCCCCCCCCCTGGATACGTGTTGTGTACTGAGTAGTTTCCTAGAAACAGCCTATGTATCACAATACGAAATAGTTCACTTCCTTTGAGTTTTAATTGGGGACTAGAATCACAAGAGTGAGTTGGAGATAAACGAGAAATAAGGTGGGAGAATGAACAATTCCTCATTCTAAATTCCCATACTCTTAGCTCTTCAGTTACACCCAAAGGAATTTCGGGCAATCTGTTCACCCACGCTAAGAAAGTACGGTTTAATAGCAGGCCAGTTTTGTCTTAGTCGAAAGCTGTAGGGACGAAGCGTTAGCTACCACGTGGTAAGGTGACGTCATAGTTCTCTGTGTTTCTCAGCGTTGTATAGAAATGCAAATATGGACAGCTAACCCGCCGTACACTTGCCCCAGGATGTGAAATATTTGAATATATTTACAACTAAAATTTCGACATCTACCGACATTTTGAAACCGCGACAGAATGACAAATCAATTTTTATAACCTGCATAACCTGCTGCCCCAGTACATTCTTCAAAATCGGAATAAAACTAAAGCACCCCATTTTACTTACTGCCTTATCCTTTCCAGAACATTATTACCACCGGGAAACATTTGGAACTACAATTACTGGATGCGTCACTTGGAATCGAAAAGTAAATTTTAAGACCCTGCTCTATTTCCACCACATTATGCGCAGAATTGATAAATAATCATGAAAATGATTAGGAGCCAAACTCCAGTTCAGTAGCTTCGGCTGTGGTCATACGGTAGACCTGGACAAGCTGTCTGACACGTCTCATCACTTGGCAAACTCTGCTGCAGTCACTTCTGCGTAAGGATGAAGTTGCATCGTCATAACATCTGATTCAGTTTGTTGTTTTTCCCGTAAAACATTGGCGTTGAGAACCGGGGACCACCAGCATGTCTTGTGATGTTGGTCTCTTCTCTGTGGGAAACTGAAAAGTTCTTGTCGAAAATCTTAACCAGTAACATTCGTGTGGCTAGTTTTCTTTCACTTTACATTCTATTTCCTCAGGTGTACGCTGGTCTAAGATTATTATCGTTGCCGACACTTCTTCCCATGTCCGTTTATCATCTTCACTGAACGTAAAAATCACAAAGCTGAAAATGGATACTACTGTAACTTTTACTTGGTCGCACAATGGGTCATGTAAGAGAGATAAGCGTTAAAGTATTTAGGCGATGGAGCCAGCAATTCACTGCAAAAGGCCATCGGCATTTCTTGGTTTCAGATTAGTGCAATGTGCTTTAAAAGCAAGTTATCGTACCTCACGGAAACACGGAACCTGTGGTCTCATTAACTGTGCATCCGGTAGTCAAGAAACAACAGTCTGCTCTCCTTGGAGATGCTGATTTACTTACTTACTCATGGAGCTGAGCCCTTCTGGAGGAACCGCCAATTCTGCAATTACTCAAGAACTTCCCAGCATTTTATGGAACCCGAAAGTCCATTACCGTGTTCACAAGAGCCCTCCAGTGGTCCATATTCTGAGCCAGATCAATCCAATCCATACCACCCCATCGTATCCCTTTAAGATCCGTTTTAATATTGTCCAGCCACATATGCCTTGCTCTTCCCAGTGGTCTCTTTCCTTCTGGCTTTCCCACCAATATCCTATATAAATTTCTCGACTCCCACATTCGTGCTAAATGCCCTGCCCACCTCATCCTCCTTGACTTGATCATTGTAATTATACTTGAAAAAGAGTACAAGTTATGAAGCTCCTCATTTTGCCGTTTTCTCCAACCTCCTCTCACGTCATCTCTCTTCGGTTCAAATATTCTCCTCAACACCCTGTTCTCAAACACCCTCAGTCTGTGTTCCTCCCTTAAACTCAGAGACCAAGTTTCACACCCATACAGAACCACAGGCAAAATTATTTTTGTATATTCTAATTTTTATGTTCTTGGACAGCAGACGAGAAGACAAAAGGTTCTGAACTGAATGGTAGCAAGCATTACACGAGTTCAATCTCCTTTTAATTTCCTCCGCAATCAGGTTTTGATCTGTTGTCGTTCCCAACTGTGCCACATTTTCAAAACATCTGTTAGCTATCTTTATGTCCTGATTTTGCCCTGCATTCTGGTGACGAGACAGCGGCATACACTCAGTTTTCTCCGTGTTTACTTCAAGACCAACCTCCTTACTTGCGTCAATAAAAGTATGTGTGTTTTTCTTTATGGTATCTATATTATAAACCAGTAGATTCACATCATCGGCATAGGCCAACTGCTGATGTGTCCCGTTTAATTTCAGTCCCGCCCGGTTTCCCTGGACCTTGCTAATTGCATATTCTAAGGCAAAGTCGAAAAAGGAGTGGCGATAAAGCATATCCTTGTCTTAGACCATTCTGGGTAGGAAATTTATCAGACAGTTGTTTACCTACATGGACTATACGTTTCGTTTAACTGTCTCATTATACCCTCAATTTTTCTCCAATGTCTGACGAATGCAAAAATTTGATCTGTAGTTGATCTGTTATGTCGAAACCCACACTGATGATCCCCAATAATTTCATCTATGTATGGACTTAACCTTGAGAGAATAATATTGGATAAAATTTTGTATGAAGTTGATAGCAGTGATATCTCCCGATAATTACTACAGTCAGTTTTATCACCTTTCTTGTGAACTGGTACAATAATAGACTCCTTCCACTGATCAGGCAATTTTTACTTATGCCACATAGAAGTAATTAGCTTGTGAATCTTAGAACGTAATATTTCGCTGCCTGCTTGAACAAGTTCTGCCCGAATTTGATCACTACCTGGCGATTGATACCGTTTCAATTTTGCAATAACACTTTCAACCTCAAAAGGGCTAGGATCAGGTACTAACGGCTCAGCTGTATGGATTTCTGTCTGCCTAACATCACTGACCCTATGTACATTCAGTAACTGAGAGAAGTAGTTCCTCCACATATTCAAAATGTTGTGGGAATCTGCAAGCAGATCACCATTATCATCCTTCACTAAGTTACGGCTAGGCTGGTAACCCCTCTTGAAGTCATTTATTCCTGTATACAGGTCTCTAATGTTCTTGTTCTTACTGTTCATTGCAAGCTGATCAATTTTGTCTTTCAGATATTCCCTCTTTTTGTTCCTGAAATGCCTGCTGGTTTCACGTCTTATATTGTTCAGATTATCCCTATATATTTTCCTTGGATCTTGTAACCGCTGCAGTTTGTTTTGTTTTCTTGGTCTAGTAATTCTGAGCATCCTTCATCGAACCATGGCTTATGCTTCTTTGGTTCATAATGTCCTAGACTCTCCTTGGCAGAAATTTTGATATTCTCTCTGATAGGTTCCCAAGCTTTATTAACATCCACCTCAGTGTCCAAGTTTTCCAAAGCCACAAACCTATTTGATATTTCAACACGATACTGCTCTTTGCCCTCTGCCTCGTTTAATTTCTTGAGATTGAACCTCCTCATATGAACTCTTTGTGTTGTTTGTTTACTCACTGCCAGTCTTTCCCTAACCTTTGCCACCACCAGACAGTGGTCAGTATCACAATCTGCTGCCCTGAATGATCGGACATCAAGTATATTTGAGTGCCGTCTTCTGTCTATAAAAATATGGTCTATTTGATTGTGTATCTTCCCATCAGGACATGTCAAGTAAATGTATGGACGTTATGATGTGGGAACATTGTACTTTTGACAGTAAGCCGTTAGTCGCTGGCTTCCCACCGCGGCGGCTCGGGTTCGATCCCGGGTCTGGTCAAGTGGGATTTGTGGTGGACAAAGTGGCGCTGGGGCAGGTTTTCTCCGAGTACTTCGGTTTCCCCTGCCAATCTTCATTCCACCAAATGCTCCACAATCACCCTCACCTATCATCTGGGGCTGGTACAATAGACCAGAAGTGGCCGCAGTACAAGGAACTTAGACCCACCCCACCAGCAATAAAAGAAATTTGATATGGCAAAGTTTACAACTCTAACTCCATTATCATTACTAATTTCATGAAAACTCTCATTCCCAAACGTTGCTTTGAAAATGTCTTCCCTCCCTACCTTGGCATTGAAATCTCCTGACAAAATTTTCACAGGGTACTTCGGGAAATTATCAAATACATGTTCTAGTTCTTCATAGAATTTGTCCTTTTTGTCATCAGTTTATCTTCTGTCGGGACGTGAATATTCATAACAATGATATCACACCAGCGACCTTTTAGTATTATATATGATATCCTACCACTAACGAAGTCTACCCTCTTAACTGCTGACACGATTATCATATGTACGAAGAAGCCTGTACCTAATTCATGATTCTAATTCCCCTTTCCATGGAAAAATGTATAGTCTCCTGCTGGTGCGATGCCACCTCCGTCCCATATGACCTCCTGTACTCCCGCAAAACCTAACTTATATTTTAAGATTTCCTCTGTCACTGCCCTGAGTGAACCTGCCCTGTACAAACTTCGAAGATTCCAAGTGCCAAATGTCATATTCATTTTCTTCAGCTTAGGTCGTTTATCCCAGGAATCCGTCGATGTCAGAGGCTTTGTGTTCATTTTCGTAACATAGTAATTTTTTACGGTGAGGAGTTGTTAGTCCCACGCCCAACCCCCAAGCTGGAGGACCACCCCTTGTCGGCTGTCCGCGACTGCTTATTCAATGTATTCTTGGAGATGCTGATATGTGAATTAATTTGCTTTTGATGTTAAGTAGGCTGATGTGCAGGGCACTGATATTCTAACCATAAAAATAATTGAGCATATTAGAAAACAACGTTTCAAAAAAGAAATCTATGTAATTTTCGGGCATTCAGGACACTTTAGGTGATGGCGGATAATGCTTGAATTTTCGAGAAAATCCTGAAATTTCTGGGACGGTTTGTCACCCCAGTTGGTACTGTTTAACTTTCAATCGTCATATCCAGTACACTAACATGGTTGCCTTTGGAACCTAAGTGGCGGGCGCGGTACTAGCGCCATGTAGAATAGAGTTGTAGAACTTCAACAGACATTCGCTTTTATTGCATAATTAGTCAAATATGAAGTAGAAATGTGGCCACCGCGCCACGTGTTGTTTAAACAGGCAAACGCACTGGACCTGTTCCGTGCGCGTTTCCGATGGCTGCTTCTAGAGGACTCCTCGCTTCAGAGCTCCGAGCAAGCACTGCGGAGCCTGAATGTGCTGCTAGACAGCGACGTAATTGTCGGACGTCGAGTCTCCGAGACCAGATTCAGCGTCATGGAAGTGTACAAACGAGGACCTCACGAGGGTTTGACCCGAAGCGTAACGGGCGTCTGGCAGAGCGAAGTCCAGCACTTCGAGCCCACTTCGTCGCCTGTAGTGTCCGTTAGGAGAATGAACACCCGGAAATCGGTCCTCAAGGCCGTTATGGTGGTACGCACACTAGCAAATAATTATGTAGCATCTTCTTCTGAAAATAGCTTACATTTCTTCCTCCGTGACCAAGTGTAAATAGTTCTGTCCATTTCAATTGCAATCCCTCGATACGTAAGAATTTAGTCACTTACATGACCTTAGTATTTCTGACAAACATAAACTAAAAGAGTCTTTTGAAAATCCGATATTTAGAGTTGGGACGAATTTCTTTCCGCCTCTAGCTGGGTTCATATTCCGTGTGAGCAAACTTCGAGAAATTCTCAGACTGATGTTATTAAATTCGGTATGCAAATGTTCCATGTTATGTCATATTTAAGGCCATCTGGGGCTAAAGTTCTAAATTCATTAAACACATGTTCCCTGTGAACACATTTTGTGGTATTCTGAATCTGTGTAAAAAAGGCGAAATTGTCTCTGTCCTTAACTAATTAAGCACTACAACATGAATATGTATATAGGAGTGCATGTATAAACCCACGTTTTCTTGAATTCGGCACTAGCTGGAGGTGAGTTGTCAGCTTCACACTCCAGCCACTTTACCCCAGGGGACAGAGCCTCTGGTACCCAATAAATAGGAGGTGGGGTGGACCGCAGAGCCGGTCTGAAAGAGATGAAGAAGTGAAAATTCTTAACCCTACAGGGATTTGAACTCCGACCCCTCAGTCGTCCAGCCCGTGGTTCTGAGACTGTGTACTTGCCTGGTTTCAGATTAACTCACAACCAAACAGTGCTATTCCATTTCTGTGTATGGCTCACGATATAGAAGGAAACTCATTTCGAATATATTCTGAGGTGCCGTGTGACCGATGTTAACATGTACGAGTACTCGTATATGACTGTTCAATGTTAAGGAAACTTAGGCATTGTAATGAATCGCAGGGCTTAAGCTTTCTTATGAGCTAAAATCGTTGGCTATAGAGAAATCCTTTGAAAAAATGTCTAGTTTCATAGGTCTATTATTTGCTTTCGCCACTCCAAAAATGAGTAATTTGAAGGTAACTTTGAAATGACAAGCCGCCCGGTTTAAACAAGCTCAATGTAAATAATTGGATTATTACTATGGCCCTTCGTGGCAATTTGTGTTGGCTCGAGGGTAAAGGTGACCTGCATCACAATTGCTGCAGGTATTAGCATAATCATAAAATATAACGTAATACATGATAAGGTATGTTAAAACTGTCGACATTTAAATTATTGCTTACCTTCTGTTTAGCCTCTGACTGATGCGTTTTCCCTGTTATTGCTTGGTAAATATCTGAATGTAGGGAGCGGGTCTCAGTATTTATCGCATTCTGATATTTGAGATTTTCAAGTGTAGGGTGGGAGGCGCGACGAAAGTGACGGGCACCTTGGCTACAGTCTCCCTTAATCACATTCACTACAGCACTTTATAATTCACACCACTAGATATAGCGATACATATCGTGAAAATTGTATACGTAATATACCAAATATTTACAACCCGTACATCATAAGTATTAAACACACCACTGATGCGGGTTATCAATGTAGCACATCCAAAATCATTAACACACAGATACTAATTTCTTGCAGAGAGGAACTTGTCTCTGGGCTCCACAGCCGGGCTTGCTACGTACATGCACAGTTCTACACTGCAGCATTGGAACCTTAGTATTTAAGTTGGCATACCTATTTTCTTAATCTACCATATTAAAAAATACTTAAATATATTTTTAACATTCTTTAAAATACTTTCATTATTTCTAAAATGTCATAATATGTTCACATTATAAATCTTGATATATGGTATACTTTATATATTTTACATTTTATCTCATTTTGTATGTTCTATTTTAATTGTAATACTTACAAACTTGAGGCAAATGTTATCTGTTATTACACAACACGACACGTTGCACTGATATGGATCCTGATCAGTAGTCCAGTAACTGTACGTACTCCTACATATAACTGCCTGATGAGGGTCTTGTACGGCCGAAACATGTAGCAGGAATAGAAAGCCTATCGTAGAACATTAAAAGCGAGTATATCTGTTGTGTTGACGGTTAACCTAATTCATATATATAGAGAGGACACAACAGGATGCAACCAATGAAGACAGGGCATGGGTGTTTGGTGTTTATGTGTGTGCATTTTTCCCCTGACTGTGTACAGGTAGAGAGACCTTGCGATGAGCTGATCACCCGCCCAAGGAGTCCTACTGAATGTCTAAGATCTAGTAAAGTGAAATGGAGGTAGGCCAAGGCCCAAATTGTGGCTGTAGCGCCAAAGAAGAAAAAGTTCTTTGAAGTATGTATCTGCAGGTTTATCTGTGTCCACGTTTCAAACATATTTTCTTTTCCTTTGGCCGCTTTGCTGTTGACACCTGAGAAGTTATTGGATCAGCTTTTCAAAGAGACGTGTGTAGCTCTGTTTGGCAGCACTGATCACTTTCATGCCTGTGGTTCCTGTTTTCTTCCGCAGGTGACCAATAACGATACAATGAACCATCTTACTAACACCATAGACAAACACATCGACACCATAACAAAGGTGAACCATAACCTATTCCTTCATGTAGTGGACATGCTGAATGCCAGGTATTGGACATACTTCATATTATATAGATGTACTCTTCCAATATCTACTTGTTCGTGTTGTCGACTAGTTCTGCGAACAATGTCCACAATACATGAATATCAAGAAAAGGTTGTGAGGTGAAATTATCGCTGTTCTTTAATTACTTAAACACCACGCGAAATTGTACAAGATCACAAATGAATGGGAACAAAATGGATAGGAGAATATGCGGATACAAGGACATGTGAAAGAAAATATTATCTAGTGAGAAGTATCATGATAAGCCCCAGATGCAGGTTCAGAATTCTTAAGATCCTGAGGGAAAATTTTGCATTATAATACGTGAAGCTAGAGACGTTGTGAGCCGTAATCCATACTTATAATTAAATTTTATCTTCGAGCGCCAGGAAAGATCTTTCAGAAAGTGAAGAGATACTACCTGAATATTAAAAGTCGTGGTTCATAATTTCAAAGTCTCTGCGGTTTCAAGAACTGTCGAAAAGACATTTAAAGTTTAACAAAATTAACCCACTGAAATACTGCATAAATTAATGAAAAGAATTGCCCAATCAATCTCTGTCTCTGTAACAGAATAATGTAANCATTTTATCTCATTTTGTATGTTCTATTTTAATTGTAATACTTACAAACTTGAGGCAAATGTTATCTGTTATTACACAACACGACACGTTGCACTGATATGGATCCTGATCAGTAGTCCAGTAACTGTACGTACTCCTACATATAACTGCCTGATGAGGGTCTTGTACGGCCGAAACATGTAGCAGGAATAGAAAGCCTATCGTAGAACATTAAAAGCGAGTATATCTGTTGTGTTGACGGTTAACCTAATTCATATATATAGAGAGGACACAACAGGATGCAACCAATGAAGACAGGGCATGGGTGTTTGGTGTTTATGTGTGTGCATTTTTCCCCTGACTGTGTACAGGTAGAGAGACCTTGCGATGAGCTGATCACCCGCCCAAGGAGTCCTACTGAATGTCTAAGATCTAGTAAAGTGAAATGGAGGTAGGCCAAGGCCCAAATTGTGGCTGTAGCGCCAAAGAAGAAAAAGTTCTTTGAAGTATGTATCTGCAGGTTTATCTGTGTCCACGTTTCAAACATATTTTCTTTTCCTTTGGCCGCTTTGCTGTTGACACCTGAGAAGTTATTGGATCAGCTTTTCAAAGAGACGTGTGTAGCTCTGTTTGGCAGCACTGATCACTTTCATGCCTGTGGTTCCTGTTTTCTTCCGCAGGTGACCAATAACGATACAATGAACCATCTTACTAACACCATAGACAAACACATCGACACCATAACAAAGGTGAACCATAACCTATTCCTTCATGTAGTGGACATGCTGAATGCCAGGTATTGGACATACTTCATATTATATAGATGTACTCTTCCAATATCTACTTGTTCGTGTTGTCGACTAGTTCTGCGAACAATGTCCACAATACATGAATATCAAGAAAAGGTTGTGAGGTGAAATTATCGCTGTTCTTTAATTACTTAAACACCACGCGAAATTGTACAAGATCACAAATGAATGGGAACAAAATGGATAGGAGAATATGCGGATACAAGGACATGTGAAAGAAAATATTATCTAGTGAGAAGTATCATGATAAGCCCCAGATGCAGGTTCAGAATTCTTAAGATCCTGAGGGAAAATTTTGCATTATAATACGTGAAGCTAGAGACGTTGTGAGCCGTAATCCATACTTATAATTAAATTTTATCTTCGAGCGCCAGGAAAGATCTTTCAGAAAGTGAAGAGATACTACCTGAATATTAAAAGTCGTGGTTCATAATTTCAAAGTCTCTGCGGTTTCAAGAACTGTCGAAAAGACATTTAAAGTTTAACAAAATTAACCCACTGAAATACTGCATAAATTAATGAAAAGAATTGCCCAATCAATCTCTGTCTCTGTAACAGAATAATGTAACGTCAATTTCGGGCCAGTTGCAATCAGTTCGCAGAAACCCCAAGAAAGGCGCCACTTGATTTCTTGGATGTAGCGTGCTGCAGAGGCAGCCCGCCATATTTGTGTACAGCTAACACCTTCTTACCCTTGTACCGTGAATGGCACTATTTTATGAATTTGGAATCAGAACCCATTCTTTCCTAATGGCCGTTGTACGTCGCTCTATCGAGATGTCGTTCGTACGCTGGAATATGCATTTCAGTACAGCATGACTACAATAAGAATGATATAGGTACACCTTGAAACGTTGTAATGTGCTGTACGATTGAAATATGGGTTTTCAGATTTACATTTTTCATTTACTCAGATGAAGTTGAAATCTGAAATACAACTGATAGTGGCATTTCCTTTCAAGTTCTCTTTCAAGTTACAGGTTGACAAATGTAATGATAGTGAATGCTGCCATCTATATATCAATTACCGACTCACGTTTGACCTGTGGTCTTGGGCTTGCATGTGGACTTTGCTGGTATTAATTTCATAATGAATTCATCAAAACAGCTAAGAACCCAGTTCAAATTTTGTGTGGTAACTACAAAGCTTGGGACACGCGTCAGTGCTGCAGAACCGCTGTTGCAGCTTGGATATGAAGATAGTGGACACCTGGGGCTACCCTGACAGCGCCGGCCATTGGAGCGGCCTCTCTGGATATCTTCAGAGATCTGAGGTCGACATCGGAACAACAGGCATGTTCGTCACCAAGGAGCGGCTCCCTTTCGTGCGGTACATCGCTTCGACTTCAGTCACGAAGTAAGTTCTTTACGATTAGTTCGGTTCGGAATCCAAAGAGAATAATTCCCGCCATGCTGCGTTATTAAAGCAATTCTTTAAGATCTCGTGGTGAACGTAAAATTTTGGGCTCGTATGGTTCTGAAGAGTAGGAAAGGGCCACAGGTTTGGTTTCCATGTTGTTGACACCATAGAGAACTGGAGCTGGATACCGCCGTTTCGGTAGAGTCTGCTTCTGGCTGAGCAATTGATTGGTTTGAACAGTAGAAACATGTTGCAGATTCCAATCTCAACAACCGAAAGAAGAATAACATTTAACATTTCCCTTGGATCGGATGATTTCAAAATCCGAATAAAATAAATTATAAGGTAGACGCTGTTTAACGATTTCTGACACCGTCTACATGTGACGTAGCAAGTGAGAACGCGGACGGAAGAATGTAGAAATGTTGTCAGATCTTAATTTCAGCTATAATCATGGGAAAGTAAAACCTAAACTTGCAGCTCTTACATGCCATTTTATATAGCTCAATAGTGCACGAAAATAAAATATAAGTAACCCCGTTTTCTCACTCCTTAATCAGACTTCAACTCCATCTTCTCTTCTCATTATACAGCACATGTTTCGGCCTAACTGGTCACCAACAGATGTATAAGATGTTGGCACAGAGGAACCGCTGCTCTGCCGACACTGTTCTGCTCTTCAGTTTCATAAAAATGCTTTTAGGTTCTTTCCTGATTATTTTCCAGTTTTCTCTTTATAATGTAAATTTAGTTCGTATTTGTCTTCTGTGAATTGCGTCTCTGTGGCATTTGGTAGTCCAGGGCAGTTTGCATTCTTGTTTTTCTGTTTGCTGTTTGGGGCTTAGATAAGTCATGTATTATTTTTTGTGCCTTCCTTCCACTTCTCAATGCAATTTGGGGTTTACTGACTGTTCTATTTTGGTCCAAATGTGTTGCAAATTTTTGCATTCTGTATATGTGTATGGTACGGTTCTTTGAATTATTTCTTTCTTTACAGTAATTTTATTTTATTTTTTATGTTTATTGTTTAATGGTTACTCTTGTGTTTGTGTTTTTGGTTGATAGGTTTGTGTTGATACTTTAATGTGTGCATAATTTGGAATTATTCTCACTTTTAGGCATGTTCTCTTGAACATTACACCGCCGTTGCAGCGCAGCAGTTTGCATTCACAGCTTGAAAGCTATAAACATTCTAATTTGACAACTGTCCATAATGTTATGCTGCAGACTTTTGTTGCAACTTCTTGTTCTCACTTCAACAAAAAATACATAAATTATCTAAGTCGCAAACAGCAAACAAAAGAAAAGCTAGGTACAAACTACCCTAAAATACAAAATAGCACAAACTCGCAATTCACAAAGGAAGACTACAACTACTAAGAAAAAGTCTAGGATGTAATTTACATTATAAACAGAGAAGTGGGCACATAATCTGAAAATAACCTAAAATGAAATATTTTAGATGCATTTAACATCAAAATGAAAAGAAGAACAGCGTGGGAACAGATCAGTAGGTTCCTAAGTCCAACATTTTACACACCTCGTGATGGTCAGCTAAGCCGAACCATGCAGTGTTGTGTAATAAAGCGACAAAGATGTTGCAGTGTGAAGACTCTGATATATGACGAAGTTGCACAAAGACGGTAATGAGTAAGAACACGGAAGTTACAATACACAGTGCAACAGGATGATGCAGTATAATACTAAAATGTAGAACTATCAATATGAATGACCAGCACGTGACAGTCGGCCAATCCTGATGCTAGCAAAAATTACATGACGGCCTTGTGGAAAGCCAGTGGAATACATTTAACATATGCAGACGTCAAGATTTTATTAGCTATCGGCAACAAAGGGGCATAAATGAATGCAGTGAAACTTAGCAAGTATTCTTGCAGGAACGCCTTCATATTTCGCCAGCCACCGCTCTCCTTCATCATGAACATCTTCACTCTGCCCTTTAGTCGGTCCGTCTGGATGGCCAGTGTAGCCTTCGTCGTTGTCGCGGGGTCTGCTCTGTACTTGACAGTCCAATACGAGGAACGGAGCGACAGAGTGACCGGGAGTGACATTACACTCCTCTCCCTGGGCGCCGTGTGTCAGCAAGGTACATCTGCACCTTCTCTGTGGGAACTGTGGCTAGACATGGGAATTGTTTCTTTCAAAGTTTCCGAATATTTGTTGCATTTGGGAAGGCTCAGAATAATGTGCGCATGCACACTGATGTGGAATGCTTGGTGCTAATATTGAAATAATAGCGAGTAACCAAGTCTGTAAATTTCCTATTTGTATCCATGATTTATTCTGACCGTCTTACAGTGCATACATTTATTCACCTTACTCTTCTCTCTTGCACTACATGTTTCGGCACTAAAGTGCCATCTTCAGGTGCTTTTCGATGTACGTCGAACTACTGCATTGCATGCCCTGTTGTCTTTATACTAAAAAATATATATTCGTCATATATATTGCTAAATTTTAAATATTAAAAATGTTAAAACTGTTCAGGATTTGTCATCCTTACGTCATAATTCAGTACGCGAGTCACACCTATCTTCTTCCGTCGGAGTATTCTTCCTACTTTCATGTGTATTGTGCTTTGTGTTGTGTCTTACTCCTGTGACTGCGTGTGTGGACATAAATCAGTGCAACAGGACGCTAAAATATAACATTCCTATTTGTATTTATTTTGTATCGAAGGGTTATACGTGAATATCCCTCAGTCACAGTCCATGTATTTGTTTAATTATTTCTATTACTCACTCCTGGTCTTTCTAATGCTCTGTTGCCAGCTGAAGAAAAGGAGAGATATATTTGACGAGGTTTGTTTTTATAGGCAACCTTGCAAAAAAAATTTCCCTCTAGGTAGCAGTGCCGCTTATAGCATATTGTTACTGTATCAGATTTAGTGCCTTTGTATGAATGTTTCCAGAATTTTTAAGTCATCGAGATTAGGAATTTTTTGACGAGATTGTAACCGATTTTGTGAAAGTTGCGTAGTATGACGCCTTAGGCTAGTCATGGGTACCGCACAGACATTACGGGCGGTCACTGTGCTGATCTTGTAACGAGGGCCTATACGGCACCAGCTTGACTTGTCATCAAAACTCCGTGAGTCAAGCTGACAGTCGCTCTGTCTTCGAATAACTTACAAGCATTTCATTGTACTTTATTCAAAATAGCCAGTCCTGAGCCAGATAAATCCATCTCACACATTCGCGGTACACCATGGCGTGTCCCGACTCTGCTAACTGCGCTGTTGCCACTTCGCAGGCACCACACTAGAGACGGGGGGCGTGCCCGCCAGAATCGTCCTATTCGTGCTCTTCATAACCGTAATCTTCATGTACACGGCTTACTCCGCCTGCATCGTGGCCCTCCTCCAGTCCTCCACGACCGGCATTCGCACCTTGAAGGACCTGCTCGACAGTGGCCTTACCCTGGGGGTGGAAGACGCTGTCTACAATCGGCACTATTTTCCGGTACGGTCAAGAGAAAGAGGTGGTCGTTCAAGTAACCTGTAAGTTCTCCACCCGTTACGGAACCAATTGCCGTGCTCGCATTTGAGCCTGCCCTGAGCCACCTGAACGTAGTTCACACGAACCTGCGTACCTCGTTCACCTCGTAATACGTCATGTTACCATTCTAATCATATTCGGTGAGAACTACAGCCTATAGGGCCCTTCATTGCTCAGTTCTATCCGATAATATGTATAAACTGACGCAGGTGGTTATGAGTTCGACAGATATAATGGCTGCCGGAGGCTTGGCGAGAACAAGCAGATTAATATGATCATATCCTATCAGGCTGGATGGTCGGGTTTGCACAATTTTCTGAATTGCAAGATGATTTTCAGGAGAAAAATTCCGCTACTACTATTTTGTCCGCTGAAATCCTGAAGGATTCGTCTCGGACTGAACCCTGCCATCTGCTGTGAAAAGTCACTAAATACTTTGCACGTGAAACCAGCAGACTTCAGCTGAATTCCGACCGACATCTTGTAAAGAGATTTTAACCAGTTACACATATAAATATAGTAAAGTAAGATACGATTGGTTAATTTCCAATAAATTCACAAGATTTCGCGTTATAGAGGTCTAATCCTGCAAATAATACAACATTGGTGCCAACACATGAACCGACTGCGTCTGTGAATTCCTTATCAGGAAACTAAGTGCGACTTGAGAGGTAAAGATTTCATTTGTGTCAATATCAGGTCCTGAAGGCTCTCTTGGTGAACAGATAATGGCATTAAGTGTAAGTTGCAGACACGGTTATTAACTTTCAGGTATCATAAAATGCTTTAAATTTCGTGAGTAGCTGAACAAGTATCCGCTTTCCTTGCATCCCTTCAAGTACAGTGGCTAGATTCATTTCCCTTTCACGCGTCTCTCGAGAGCAACTCATCTCAATATCTGACGGCGGCTGAGCGCTGTGTGTGGTTCCAGGCCGCTACAGATCCTGTTCGTCGCGCGATCTACAAGAAAGTGACTCCTGACCGCTTCATGGCTCTGGAGGAAGGGCTGAAGCGGGTGAGGAAGGGGCTATATGCCTTCCACGTGGAGCTGGGTCCTGGCTATCAGGTGATCTCGGAGACTTTCCTGGAGGAAGAGAAATGTGGTCTGCAGACAATTAACTTTCTGATTGAGATTGTGGAGCCATGGGTTGGCGTCAGCAAGACAACTCCCTTCGTGGAAATCCTGTCCATCGCGTGAGTTATTAACAAGAAATATCGTTAAGCTGTATTCGTATTTGGATACTATAAGACTTCAATACAATCACATCAATTCTAAACCACCGTTAAATAAAGTGCTTAAAAATCCTCTCTACTTCTCAGAACGTACATAACTATTCTCTCCTCTTTATAGTTTTGCTGTCAGATTCACGATTAAAAATATATTTTTTTCGTGAAGTTACATTAAAATGAATGTGGAACTAATGTTGCAGCCAGGATACCTCAGTCGGTATAGAGACTGGATGCAGCCTGTACAGCTTCAGTTAATGCAGGGTAAATTTGTTTTCTTCCCAGATCGCTCGGCCTCCTATCCAATGAGCATTGGATGCTTCTTCTCCAGGGTTAAAACTGCCGTGACGCGAAACTAGCCTCTAAACTCAATTTAGTGCCGAGGTTAAGCATGTCTGTTTCAATACTTCCATTCCTTCATACCCTTCAAGGCATAGTGCCTAATTAATTACGCAAAGGGACAATGACATAAAGATATGTAAAAGATCCTTTGAAATGTTGGCACAGTTCAGATATTTGGGAACGACGATAACAAATCAAAACCTGATTCAGGAGGAAATTAAGAGGAGACTGAACTCGGGTAATGCTTGCTGCCATTCGGTCCAGAATATTTTGTCTTCAAGTCTGTTGTCCAAAAGCATAAAAATTAGAATATACAGAACTATAATTATGCCTGTGGTTCTGTATGGGTGTGAAACTTAGTCTCTGACAGTAAGGGAAGAACATAGACTGAGGGTGTTTGAGAACAGAGTCATGAGGAGAAATTTGGGAGAAGAGAGATGAAGTGACAGGAGGTTGGAGAAAACTGAATAATGAGGAGCTTCATAACTTGTACACTTCTCCAAGTATAATTAGAATGGTCAAGTCAAGGAGGATACGATTGGCAGGGCATGAAGCAAGAATATGGGAGAAGAGTAATGCATGTTGATATTGATGGAAAAGTCAGAAGGAAAGAAATCAGTATAGCTGTAGTACTTAGAGGTGACAGTCCTCTGACGCGGAGTAGGAGAAGTATTGGTAGTGGAGGGGAGAGCTCCAGCGTGCCGACAAGTGTGACTGGGAATGCAGTACAGGCGTTCTCAAAAGGAAATAACTTCTTACCTCATTGTGTTGTATAGTGATGGTGGTTTATTCTCGTTGATGTTAAGTTAACATGATGTTAACATCCGATGTTAAGTGCCGAATGGCAGACTGTTATGCACTATACACTATTATACACTTTTCACTGTTATATACATGAAGAGTTTATTTACATATTACACGGGTCTGTTCTAAAGGGGCAACACCGGCAATGTCCGATTATTTTTTGTTTTCTTCCAGCGGAACCCCAGTTTCAAAATAATTTTCTTTAATGTGGAGATGCATCCCTGAAAATCTAATGTTTTCTTCAACTTTTCGTGAACTTTCTTCAGGGTAGGTCTCCTTTTTTCGGCTATGTAGAAGCCATTAATTGTTCTTCGCACCACAGACTCGTTAAAGTCGTCCAAAGTGCCTAGTGGAGATTTCCTAGGTCTTTCTTTATGGGGTGTCGAAAAGGAAGTGGAAGCCCCAGAGTCGATATTTTTTGTTTCTCTTATTATTCTTGTGACACTACTTTCCGATACACCTGTTGCCTTTGCTACTTCCACTCCTGTGTTCTTCACTGTAATTGTTGGCCCAGCCTCTTTCATATACTTATATACATTACTAACAATTTCTCTTGATTGTGAATGCAACACTTTTCCACTCTATTTACTTCGTGTAGGTGGCATATTAAAGGAGATAGAAAAAATGTACAAATATAAATAAACAAAAAAGAAAATAAACGAACAAAAATAAACAATAAAATAAAATATTGTCACTGTCACCACTTGACTTCTGGCCAAATACTTCAATGCGACGTCTCAACTGTTTTTGGCCGTGGTTGGATCTCAACTGTCTTCGGAGACGGCTATCCCAATACTGACTTCTTGCTGTCTTGTTGCTGTCTTCTGTCTCTGTAGCTCTCGGCTTATGTAGGTGTTCTGCGGACTGGATACCAGACACTATTCCTCACTGTTTCGTTTGTACTGTCCGCTGTTACGTAACGGGCGCAACGAACTCTCTGTAGTTCATTTCTNTTGCTTCTGCATTGTCTACGCAACAGCTCTCTGTTCTCTGCTTTACCATGGAAGTGCGTATTCCAAACTCACGTGTTGCCTCGGGAACGCTCCTTCGCAACGGTCTGTTTGTATTCGATTTGTCGCTGTTGGAAGTCAACAATTTCCATTGTAGCCGTTGCGTGGCGATGGACGTAAGATAACGCGTCACAATATTAATAGGGTAATTAGAGAATAATACACTCAAATACGACTCCTAGAGTCAAAACTTTTTAACTTGACTGTACAAGGAACAATGCTCTTGGGACGTCTGCTCGCACTGAATGCAGACGAATGACTAATCACAACACCCCTCAACTTTCACGAATGGACCTGCCCATCCACGGCGCAGCTTTTCCTGGACTGTCAGCTCTAAGTACTAGAGCTTTAAGATGACCAGGACGTAGGTGGATGGATAATACTCAAATGGATCTTAGACAGATCGGATGGGATGGTAGGGCTTGATTTTTTTTTTTTTTTTTTTCTGAGAATAGGGACCAACGGCAATGAATCTTCGGGTTCTATATAATATTGGGAAGTTCTAGAGTAGCTGCACAACTGGTAGCTTCTGAAGGCCGTGTCATAGCTCAGGCTTTCACTTCGGAGACGCTGGTTGGTTGAGTGAACAAAGCAGTCATGCTGCAGTTTACTGATTACCCTTCCGCCATTTCTTATCCCGCCTCGATTCCAGGAACCATTTGAAGCCACAATGCCAAGGGACTCAGTCTCACTCCAGAGCAAGAGTTATGATGTAAGGTTACAAATGTATTAATATTATTCCCTCTTTTCTTAGGAAGCTGGTAAAGTGACATGCATCTTATGTTATATGTTTTCTTTTCGGCTTATATGAAGAAAATACAATTCTCTCGTACGTGTATTCTCGACTACTCTGCACCTACCCTTTGTTTCCCACTCCTTTGGGGAGCGCATTGAAGTCAAACATTTATGTCCTTTTCTACTTTATCTTTACTTTATTGATCAGAAAATGGCGGAATTTCAAGCGGTTGCAAAGCTTCGATTTTCTTGCGTGTGAACTCATAACTTCAGTTTTTTTCATTTCGTCCATCCTGTTATGTTTATTAAAATCCGTCACAACACAACTATATCGAGGTCAAGGCCAAGGGTGGCTCGTGCTACATGTTTCGGCTATTAAAGCCATCATCAGGCAAATACATGATTAACATATGCACAGCACTGAACTGCAGTAGTGGGAAAGCTGGATACATTACAATATGCTTGGCATAAACGTACAAAGAACTAGACTACGGGGGTAAAACAAGGTTAACTCTTCGAATGGTGCATTGGTCCGTTCTGCAGGGAATATAAACTGCAACAGTAGGATGAGGCACCGGCTGAACACACCACGGGCCTCCAAGCATGTACACAAAATCTAGAATGTACCTGTTCCATTACGTCCGCGGGAATATAACAAAATTGCAACAACCAACAGCTGACTTGATGATATAAAACCCCATTCGAAGAGTCTTAACCTTGTTTTACCCTATGACTTTCGTTTTATATAGTCTAGTTCTTTGTACGTTTATGCCAAGCATATTGTAATGTAGCACTACTGCAGTTCAGTGCTGTGCATATGTTAATCATGTATTTGCCTGATGACGGCTTTAATAGCTGAAACATGTAGCATGCGCCACTCTTGGCCTTGACCTCGATATAGTTGTGTTGTGACGGATTTTGATAAAGAAATTGCATCATAACCTCAGATTTGCACTGTTTACAGATACCGCAAGGTCAGGGAAACTGGACTCCAACACCGAGAAAATGCGCGGTTCATCCAGGTGAAGCCAGAGTGTGTGAGCAGAGGTTCCATGTTCGTGAGTGTCGGGCTGGTGGACTGCTATCCGGCGCTGCTGGTGCTGGTCTGCGGGCTGCTGTGTTCAGGGGCCGTGCTACTGCTGGAGGTTATGGAGCTGCGTGTTCGTGAGTGTCGGGCTGGTGGAGTGCTATCGGGCGGCGTTGGTGCTGGTCTGCGCGACGCTGAGTTCAGAGACCGGTACTCAGCCACTGCCTCGCAAACCTCTAAAATATTTCGTAGTTTTCCATTTCCACGTAATTATTAAATATTATACTTTCATATATTGCATGTCCCTTCAAGGGCGATAAGACCAAGCATATCCAGAGAGGAAAAATGTGTCCCTAGCATTTCGAGACCGGATCTGGGACTCACGTGTCGGGTTCTAGCGGTCCCTTCCAACCAGCAGCTCTCTTCTGTTCCCCAAGAGTTTCCTCCAGCGTAACCTTCAACAATTTATGATATAAACAATGCCCACAGGATATACGAGATGCACAGAATTGGTTTCCTTTACTTGCAAGAACAACTCATCAAGTTCAATACTTCTCAATATGAGCGCCATTTGTAGCTCGCAAATATTCAGGCCGTTCTCGAGTTCGCGCTACGTGCTTTAGCATCTGGGGAGAGCTGAATTCTTGATTCAACTCCACTACTAATTTTATACGGAATGTTTCGTCCTTTACATAGCCCGAAACGAAAAGAATCCAATGGGATTGTATCAGGAGGGTGAGGGGGCCAAGGGATTTGTCCGACCCTCCAAATCTATCTGTTTGGTAAACTTTTATTCTGAGAGTGGCCCTAGTGTGGAGGGACGCCATCTTGCTGAAAGAAAATGTTTGGTTGAAGGTGCGCCGTCGTTGGGACTGCAAATATGCAAAGCCTGTCGAGATAACTTGTATTGTTCGCTTTTCTTGTGCAGGACACTTCCGGTCTCTTGAAACTGTTGCAACCATCGCTTGATGGACTGTCTTCAAGTTGCTTCTTCTCCATATTCCCAACAGTAACACCTTTGCACTTGAACACCACAGCATAGACATTTCGTTTCGCTGAGGGAAAACCGCCATTTTGGTTTCGTCAGCTGTGTACGCTTCAGCAGTAATCAACGTGAAGAATATTCAGCGGTTCTTCCGAACAATTCAACCTGTTTCTCTATATCTCTAAAACTTCGTGATATATGTAAGTTTGAAATGTTGTGAATAATTATTCACAACATTAATTAATTATAATTAATGGGCAGCCTGTATATCCATATAAAATTCGATCAGTCTAGGGCTAATACCAGGCCTTCGAAGCAACACTTCGCTACAGACCTTCCCGATCACAATGGTTGAACATGTGCGTCTGCAGAAGCCATATTGTGTAAAGGTAAAACGTAGAGCTATCCCTGAAACAGCTGTGAGGCGTTGAAGCTCCCATATTATCTTGACAATCGGCTCACAGATGGCGGTAAGGTTGTCAGCCTTACGCGTCGGTCGCCCTTTACCCCCAGGAAGATTCCTGGTACTCATTTCTGTTAGAGGCTGAGTCGACCCCAGGGCCATAGTGCAGCTGCAAGGATTAGGTCAATCGAAAATTCCACCTCATCGGGACTTGAACCCGCGACTTGCCGACTTGTAGCATAGTGTCTCAACCAACAACGCTACCGCGTGCCCCCCGTATTGTGTGTACTATAGAATTTGCAATTCGTATTAGAGAAAATATTCTCACGTTTATCATGTGATACGGTGACAGTCAGTTCCATAATGCATATTTAATTAACGTTCAATTGTTTACTGAGCGTCTTGGGAATTTTAAAGCAGTGTGTTGACTGAATATCATAGTGAAAGAACCTTACTTGTTTTCGTGCAGATCTGTTTCATCACCCTTGCTGTCTTTTGTGCTGTGCCTGGATTTATAAAATACCCATAAAACAAATTTATGTGGGTATATGGGTATGGATGTTGCTACGTAACTGTGGTTTTGATCTCCCACGGAAAATTCTGAATTCTTATCAAGATCTGTGGCTGCCTGAAAATTAGTAACTCTGTGTTTACTCCACAAAATTTGTGAACAGATTACACCTGATATGCCCCAGAAAATGAGGAGTCAGTCATACCAACTGCATTCAGCTGATGTTAACGAGGGTGAGCTGTGTCTTCGTGTACGGGGCCAAAGCTGTAAGATAAATTTCAGATCTTAAGTTACAGAACTCGAAGCAGGCAATCCTCCTGACGTCATGACTGTGACACAATTGATAACACTTGTGCTGGGTGACTCCAATATTAAGAATACGCCGCTTCTTGTCTCTGTACTTTCACGAACACAAAATTTCACCCATGTCTGAAGATTCGTATTCTTATGTCAGTGTATGGTGAGTGTATTTCTGGGCCTACTTCACAACACAATTGTACTTGCGGACTGAATTCACAACACAATTGTACTTGCGGACTGAATTCATAACACAACTGTACTTGCGGACTGAATTCACAACACAATTGTACTTGCGGACTGAATTCACAACACAATTGCACTAGCGGACTGAATTTGCAACACAATTGTACTTGTGGACTGAATTTGCAACACAATTGTACTTGTGGACTGAATTTGCAACACAATTGCACCTGTGGACTGAATTTGCAACACAATTGTACTTGCGGACTGAATTTGCAACACAATTGCACTTGGGGACTGAATTTGCAACACAATTGTACTTGCGGACTGAATTCACAACACAATTGCACTTGCGGACTGAATTCACAACACAATTGTACTTGCGGACTGAATTTGCAACACAATTGCACTTGGGGACTGAATTTGCAACACAATTGTACTTGCGGACTGAATTTGCAACACAATTGCACTTGGGGACTCAATTTGCAACATACTGAGTGTAGTGTGAATATGTTGAGTGTATTTATGGAACAAACTCACAACGCAGACTGCATTACGGACCGAATTACAGGAACATGAAGAGCCGCATCCGTAACGTGATGTGCCTCCCTGTCAGAATAAGGATCATGCTAACAAACGCGTGCTGCTTTTATATCAGAATGAGACTGATGTGTGAACGTCTGTCGGCGCTTTACGTCACAATTAGACGCCTTTTGGAATGTTGTAACATACTCTACACTGGTATAATGTTCCGTTTAGCAAAACACGTGACCATAACACATGAGAACACCAGGCTAATTGCAAAGTGCATCTTTGGTTTCTATTTAGCTCTGAAACTCATAATAACAACTATTATTCTGGTGTATGTATGGATTTCACTTGTCTACAATTTTGTCAATGCATGGTACGAAAGAATTCACTTCATATTATCTGTTGCTAGAACACAACACATCAGGCTAAGGCATTTTTTCAGAAGAACAAGCATCTTTATCAGGAAGGCCAGAATAATATTAAAAAGCTTTAATGGAGTTCTTGCAAAGACTAAGCGCTTCATAGGAACTGTGCTTGCAGTTTACGTGAAGATATTGTTCACACTGAAGTATGTTTCATTATTCCTTGTACCGACATTTTTCGTTTCAGAACGTATTGTTACGTTATACAGAAATGTGAGATATATTTATCTGCGTGTATGCATCATTGTTTCAAGGAATATCAGGATAATAGGATTGATTTGGGTCTTATATTTACCAACCAGTATTGTATTAGAATATGTGTACAATTTGTACGTAAAGACAGGTACACTGCTGGAAGCGCGCATGGGTCCTGATCTGCAGATATAATGCCTTGTCTCTGTGGGAGCCAGCAAGGGGAGAGGGGAGGCAATTCAAGCGTTTTCCCTCCATTAATTTTTTAAAAAGAAAATCAAAATTTAAGAAAAAAAAGAAAATATAGGACTACCGGAACAAAACTTAAGTCATTTTAAAGGAATGTCCTTCTACAATGAACACTATAGGGTGGTCAGAAAAGAATACCATATACTGGTTAAGCAAATGTTTAGTTGCAACGCTTGGAAAGCAGAATGGCGGAGCATAGTTATTTATAGAAAAGCTACAGTTCCATAGTGAGCACTGATACACAGTTCTCTTGAACAAATATACAAGATGTGTTATGTTCATAGTATGTTCATTTCTATCATATGTTCTCTTGTAACGGCAGACATGTCCCTCTGCTTCATTACATCTAGAAATTCCATTAGTCGATAATTTAACATGTACATGAATGTATATATTTGACAATATGTGACATCTATTAGCATCACTGAGAATAATATTGCCACGAGGAAACATTTCCGGGCGAAACTCATGTGTATAAAAATTAAAATCTTTTTACAAGCTAATTTCCACAAGTGATAAATATAAAATAAAAACCCGTACAAAATCTCCGTACATAATACCTCATGTCATTTTTCCACAGTACGTTACCTTGGCAACGGAATCGATTGTTTCTCAGTAGACTATTGTTGGCTGCCAAACACCGAACAACAGTGACATGAGCCCTGTGCGTTCCATTAAAAAGAAATTGTGGGAAGATTATTAAAGAAGAAAGTTACAACCGTATAATTTGGGATGGAGGCGTGTAAAATGGGCCTGTGGAACGAAACAGGTTTCCTTAAATTTTCTCTTATTATTCGCTAGAAAATATAACGACGCAAATGTTGAATGAAATTTTCAAATATTAAATAAAATTAAGGGTGCTAATAACTATATAAAACACACAAATTTGGCACACAAACTTGCTATTGCAGAAACATGTCTCATCAAAAACGTTGTGCAGACAATAAATAAATTCAACAAAATAATTGGCTGATCATAATAGGTTGACAAATAGGCAATGTGAATAAAATGATGAATATCAGTTAGAGCACATTTCTTCATGTGCACATGCATCACAGAAGTACGTACTAATCCCCGCCAGTGTTCATGTCACCAGTTTCTGTACCTCTCGTGCTGAATCCAGACTTCCTCCTACCTCTCTCCACAGGGAAGCCGACAGTTCCCCTCAGTATCTTCGCCTCTTTTGGGCCACAGATTTCCTTCATGCAGACAAAATTTTCGTTTTCGGTTTATCTCCCGAAAAAACCAACTACGTTGCGCCCATTCAGAAGTTCCTAATGTAGCGTCCTAATTTGCATCGCACCAGATGCTCTGTGTTTCCTTCCCGACTTTGGCCTTGAACCCTCACAGGTTTTCAAAGTTAGTGGACTAATGTTTTTACAGGAATTCATCCATTATGGTCTGGAATTTGGAGTTGTTAGCTTAGCTACATGTGTAAAACTCAATCCCATCTGCGGCTGGTTTCTCTGCTTGCATTGTCTCAGGCCGATCGGTGACCATGGAAGGAGGGAAACCATCATCTGTAAATATACAGATGTCTACAGGCCACAATCCATTATTGCTGAACGCTGTAGCGCTTGGGAACTTTGTGTCTGTTCTCCGCAGCCGGCCAACTGCGTTGCGACTACTGGTGCCACGTTCCACGCATGTAGTCACTGTCTTGAGCTGCCCTGGATGCGTGCTGTGAAAAGCCAAACACAGGGTGTGACTGTTGTGTCCATCTAAAATTAGTAACAACATTTTTTATACCGTATGAACTGAATAAATTGAAAATTCTTCCCAACCGTAGCCAGCACAAAGCTCTGGTTAATGAAACAACGCTGAGTTGTCTGCTGGTATTTTTATACACTCTGTGTGAGAGGTACACATTATGCTACAAAAATTACAAAGCCCATTTTCAGAATATCTTCAAATTTTCTTAGGAAACTTGATCCATCACAAAACATCTGACTGCAGAATGAAAGCTGAAAACCGGAAGCTGCCTTGAAAGTTGGGGTCCTCTTTCAGGGTTTGCTCGGAAATCCAGCTGCTTAATAAGAAACCAGGGAGAATATTGATTTCAGAGCTGTATGATTATTATTAAGGGCTTCTGTACTAATATTTTATTTATTAGCTATCAATAGCACAGACAAACATCGTCCATTTCAAGAAATACGTATAATTGGCAGGCCTACTTGGCTTTCTGTCGAAACATTTACCCGAAACTACTGGAACGCCAATTACTGCTCCACTAGGATGCAGCAATAAGAGCTGCTGCTCCTATCAGTTATAGCCACTAATTGGCATTCCCCTGTACATCCCGCAAGAAAGTATTCCAAAAATTGTGCTGCGAAGTGAAGCCAGTGGAGGAGCGGGCCGAGCTCTAGACTCGTGTTCGTGACGTCACTGGTTCGAATATCGGCCGCGCCACCTTCCGTCCGGACTGTGAAATTTTTGTAATTTTCCTCAGCCCTTCCAGGCAAATGTCGGGCTAGCACTTTGATTACGTCACAATGAGTCATTATGAATCCTTTCCAAATTATCTGTCACCCTACTACTTGACGCTTCAACTTTAGCTACTGACAGCGTCTAGGCTGACCCACAGAGAACATTCACAAATATAAGCACACTTCCTGTCAAGCGGTTCACGTTCTTAATATTTATCTCATAAGCGTAACTGACATATTTTACTATACTAAATCTTGTTAATGCTGCTCCGTTATTTCTTATGTTTTTATCTGTGAATTTGCTATTAATTTAGGGAACTTATCGCGTAACATTCCTAACGGTAAGTCTCGCCTTGAGTAGGCAACCTTAATGAAAGTTAGTTCTTTATATTAGACGAAATTTCAGGTACGGTGATTTTGGTACACGACATAAGAAGAAAGTAGAACTTAGTATGATTTTAATAATAACTTAATGGGATAAACCGGTATCTGTTGGTGAAGCAACCTCAAATATTATCTCTCTATCTATCTGTCTATCTTTTCGTATTGTTCACACTTGCAGCAAAGGGCATCGGCGAAACACCTTGTTTCACTTCAGTTTCTCAATCCTAAGGCAGTCGGTAGGACTCCTTGGACGGGGTATCAGCCCGTCGCATGGCCACTACCTACAGAATAAACGCAGACAAACATCCATGCCTCGAGTGGGATTCGAGCCCACGATCACAGTGTTCGAGCGCCCGAAGACATCTCATGTCTTAGACGGCGCGGCCGGCCGAAGACAACTGGCTAGAGTAGATACTGAACACTTTTTGCGCTTCATCACCAGTTGCAATATTAGCAGGTCAGCTAAGAGTTTCGTAAGCTGTTAAGTGGCAACATTTTCTCGATTATTAGAAAACAGGTTTATATTCATTTCTGACCACAATTGTTCTATTACGGCCGAGGCTAACTTGAGTTACTTAGTAAAGGGACTGAGAAGAACCGCGAGCACTTTCAGTGTACCAGCAGAGACACGGACCCGGCACATTCCAATTACCAATAGAAAGCTGCTCAATTTGACGCACCGCAGGGGGACTGGCCTTCACAAACCCTCTGGCTAACCCTAGGTCACGCTTCAGCTGGCTGTTACACTCCATCTTTCCCAGGTACATGAAGATCGATTAAATAAATAAATAATTCTCTTGACGAGAAACAGAAGAGCAGTTATGGAAAATTATATAATGCGAGGTAGATCTGGGCAGTCATTTCATACTGAAATATTAACGGTCTGTGGGCGGAACGCTGTAGTTCAGGGTAGAAACGGAAAATTGCTTGTTTTGTATGCAACCATGGAGGGGCACGAGAACTAATTTAAGGGGCAGATAAAGTACGACTCTCAACGATTATGTGAGGTAGAGCCTTGGGCGCAGTAAATGTGTGAATCTGACTTGATGTCATGTCCTTCAGCTTATGTCGGAAGACAGATTAGGGGGGGGGACAAGCCAAGCATTGCACATCCCTTCCTCTTCCTTAAAAATAAATAAAAACTGAAAAATTAGAAGACTCATTAAATATTAATAGCAAAATAAAATTTTTAGCATATTCTTCCGCCCGGAATGATCTAGGGCGATCAGTACAAATGTTTAGTCTTGAAGGATTTAAAATTAAAAGAAAGTCTGTAATCAATTTTTCTGGCTTCCCTGCTTTGGAAAACCAACGGCCCTCAGGGCCTGGAAACATCCAGGCGAGCCCTATGCTTTAGCTCGCTGAAAGTTGCCCAAGTTCTAAGATACTCCAGAACAATGCATTTACACGTATTTGAAGAACGCCGTCTTCTGGGATGTGGTGCTGTGTAGATCTTGTGTGAATCGACGTTCGGAGGAACGTATCACTTCCATCTTCAGGTTAGACAAATCCGCCAACAAGGAGCCAGCGTGGTCGAGTGTAAGCTGCTCACGCTGGTTCCTCGCTCACCGATTTTTCTACCCTACGTTCCTCCGAAATGTCGGTTAACAATACCTACACGGCGCCACATCCCACAAGACTGCTTTCTTCAGACTTGGATATCCTCTTCTATTGTGAACAGATTCTATTAAGGACCTGGGTATATGGAAGGTGTGTGTGTGTGTGTTTCTTTTTGTGGTCCTCCACGGCGACTGCTGCAAGAAAAGTTGTTTTCCGTTCGGTCCTTCCAAATGCTATATCACGAAGACTAACAGGGCAAGCCTGCAGAAAGTTGGAGTGAGTTAGGAGCTATTGCTGTTAGTGAGGGTTAGTGAGAGTTCGTGAGAAAAACGAAGAGCGCAGTGAATTTGAGGGTACACCAAGATGGCGAACGTTCTGGTATCAAGATTCTGGAAATATTGGTCACAGAAGCCAGCATCGCTGAAATCTGAAACTCACGTCATCATGGACAAATACGCAGAGGAAATTTCTGTAGTGTAACAAGTACACAAAGCACTCAGTGACACCAAGAAGCTTGCGGAAGCGGTGGAAAGCTCTGAGTCGACCTCTATTGTGGCTAGTGCGGAGAAAAGAGCAAATTTCTGTAAAGGTCTAGATGCGAAGTCTCTTTTTAACACTGTTTACATTTTTCGCAACGGTATTTTAGCAGATCAAGACAGAGCTCAATGGGGCCGAGTCAGAAGAAGACAGAATAATGACCAACACATTAAGTGTATTAGAGCTTACGAAGCGAAATTCATAGGCCCCTCCAAGTCGCTATGTAGAATGCAGACAATCAAAGTGTAAATGTTGGTGACATGTATACTGCTTATGACCGCGACAGATGACAGACCCGTCCTCTCGTCAGAGAGGCGCCCAACATCGGCTTGTCACTGAGAAACACTGGCCGACTGACCGTAGGTCATAACGTGACTTGACTTGAGAAATGCCGACTCATCCTCTTGTCTAAGAGGAGGCCCCATTTTTAAATATCTACATGTCTAAGAAATAACAAAATCTTGGCCATGGATCTCGAGGAGACCTGAAACCAGGAATGGCTGTGTTTGTGAGGACCAGCAACAAATAAGTAACAACTTAAGGAGTCGCTGTCGTGAGTTGAGAGCAGACAGTTGAGTTACTTAGATGTGTGGCAGTCGCTAGTCGGTAATGACGTGTGTAGAAGAGGTAATTATTGAGATATGTTACTAGGCAACGCCTAGTGAAGTCGTAGAAGTTGAGAGCAGACAGTTGAGTTATTTAGATGTGTGGCAGTCGCTAGTCGGTAATGACGTGTGTAGAAGAGGTAATTATTGAGATATGTTACTAGGCAACGCCTAGTGAAGTCGTAGAAGACATAGCGTGTCCTGTAGTGAGATGTAGAGGGCGCGAATTAGTATCACCGTTACAAGTGGTTGTAGTTGCGAGGTGTAAGTTTTCAATAAATCTAATTATCAATACAAACCCCCTGTCTAGTCACAAAATCGTGACAATATCACTCGGTTTCAAATATACTTTAGACAGAAATCGTGGAAATAAACCCGAACTGTCATAAATCATGTGCAGGACTGTGTGTCAAAGAACAATATAAATGTAGAACAATGGTTTTGCATTACTGTTCCTTTGTAATCTTCCAAATGAACATTGAACATGGCACATTCCTGTCTTTTCTCTTCCGTCCGACGTAGAAGACATTACCAGACATATCCATGATGAGACCGGTTTAAAACGTACAAGTAGATTTCCATGAAAGTTTCCAAATTTTTTTTTCTTAATTCCAGCAAAATGGAATGCTCTCAATGACTGAGCAGTTCTTTTTCTCACTTTCTGAAAACTAAGTACGGAAAAAAAGTAGAAGGGAACAAAAATGCATTTCACCATTCTGTTTGAGCAGACGTGTAAGTTCTTGTTGCATTTCAAGTCCTAAGCACAGGGTACTTAAAAACGGTCAGAACAATCCTAAAGATTGTGAGACGGAGAACAGTATTCTAGCAAACAGGAACACCTGTTGTGTATTAGTGAAATGGCGAAGAATGAGTTCCAATAAAAGAACTTAACCGAAATTTGGAAAAAGAAATTAGGACGAAAATATCGGCACGGTTCCTGTTTCATTTTCACTGCTGCTTTCTAGTTATAGTTTAAAAAAATAACTGTTAAGCTTACTTAATCCCATAATCGTGCTAATCAGTATTGCCAATCACTGGACAAGAAATCGATCCAGGTAATCTAATACCAGAGGAAAACAATGAAACGTATGACCAATTAATGAGAACGAAATTTCCAGTGACGTTTATTGGGAAGTTCCTTGAGCCACTAGGACGTACTTTCCATCGAGTCACTAGCGATAAAACACAGTCCGTCGCTTTGCTGGCCACGTTATCCGCACACAGCGAGGCGGACTTGTCACGAGCAGTTGCTTCTTTGTCTCGGAGGTAAGGACTGAACTCCTTTGCTGGCCACGTTATCCGCACACAGCGAGGCGGACTTGTCACGAGCAGTTGTTTCTTTGCTTCGGAGGTAAGGACTCAACTCCTTTGCTGGCCACGTTATCCGCACACAGCGAGGCGGACTTGTCACGAGCAGTTGTTTCTTTGCCTCGGAGGTAAGGACTCAACTCCTTTGCTGGCCACGTTATCCGCACACAGCGAGGCGGACTTGTCACGAGCAGTTGCTTGTTTGTCTCGGAGGTAAGGACTGTATGCACCAGCTCGTTTTACATTCAATCTAGCTGTGTGTTTTGTGTGATGTTTCAAGTAGACAGTCCTTATTGCCTTTCAGAACATTAACAGTCTCGTGTTTGTAACGAACAGCAATAAGTTTCCTGTGAGGTAAGATGTAAATACTATTTAGACGAACTTCATGCTTCCCAAAAGGACGAGCTGTCTTCAAAGCAGGAACAATTTTCTGTCCTCCCTCTCCAATAAGTAGTGTCACTCACTAACCCCACTCCACCTGACAATTTTGCATATGCAGTAGGAGACAGCCCGTTGGTCAGACGTTCTGCTGCTGAGTGTGAGGTGAGGCATTGTTTGAGAAGTAAATAAAAAAAAAGTAGAGCTATCCCTGTACCAGGCCGTGAAGGCCCATAGGGTTGTGATACGTTGAGGGTCCCACATTATCTAGACAATCGGCTCAAAGATGGCGGTAAGGTTGTCGGCCTTACGTGCTTGCCGCGCTTTACTCCCCAGGAAAATTATTTATTTAATTCCTGGTACTCATTTCTGTTAGAGGCTGAGTGAACCCCAGGGCCATATTGCGGCCGGAAGGATTAGGTCAATTGAAAAAAATCGAATGACCTCATCGGTATTTGAACCCGCGACATTCCGACTTGTATGTTTGAGAAGTAAATATTGAAAGAAATGTGTCAGTGAATATACAGTGCTTGATATAGGCGTAGAAGCCACGTAGAAAGCAAGGGCAACTCAGAGATACAGAAGATCTAGGCCTGAAATGCTAAAGAATATGGACCATTTTGCGAAGCTAATAGCTAGTCCGCTACTCAAGAAATTCAGTCTGATTGTGAAACCAATGTCCCAGAAGACTGCTTTCTTCATAGTCACCGCCGTGAAAGCCTCAAATCTTACAGTATTTATTACTGTTTTAACAAAATATAAGACTTTTCTACTAGTTCCTACCCTGAGCCATATGAATACAGTCTACAATGTCACAATTTATTTCATTAGCATCAAATTTAATATCATACTCCAATCTCTACCTAGGTCATCCAACTGGTGTTTTCCATTCCGAATTTTCATCTAAATTGTTTTATTGAGTTTTTCTTTTTTAATGTAATTCTTTCTAGCTTCGCGATACTTCCTCCATCTATCTCCAAATATTCCTCACAATAACCTGCTCTCAAAGACCCTCGATCTGTCTTCCCCCGAATGTTTTGCACCCGTTCAAAACAACTTTTAAGATGGGTCATGTGAGTAAATTAGACGATACAGAAGCTATACTCTGAATTTTCGTGTGGATAATACTAAAATATATTACACGTATCCAGGATAATGTAAAATGGTGAGGTTTTGAATTGATGGCTTGCAAACATTTGATTCTGTCACCAGAGAGCGAAAATGCAAGTGTGTTTCTAAATACTCCATTTTTCCAACGGGGAACTGCTTCCTTAAGAACATCTGTGAGCCCTGACGTCTCAAAATCATATGGGCCTCAATGGCCTGTTGCAAGGATAGCTTTACTTTTTTTGAAACGCTAAAGAGACATAAGTCCAAAGCAAAAGATAAACTTTTATGTATTCGTTTCTCAAAATAAACAGCAGTGCCCGTTGTAACATTTCAGGTAGTACACTTACATTGAAGGCGATGATATCCTTGGCGTTATCTTCATGCGTGGCCTGTTTGATGGCCTTGTGGTGTGTTGCAGTAGCTTCTGCCGACGATAAGTATCCTGTTGCTGTCGGCGGTGGAACTCCTTTACAAGAAGTTCTTGATGGCATATGGAAAATACCTTTCGTTGCAGGGATTATCATACAAATCACAGCTATTATAAACACAATCTATACATTCTTCGTCAATATTGTGCTTACGCCCCCGGCGCTTGTGATTGAGAAAGGGGGCAACTGAAATGAGGAAATGAAACAAGCCGGATACAAACAGCACAGAATAATGAATAACCCCATGCTAAGTTTGAACAAACAAGTCGAGAGTAAATCCTGCATTTCAAGACGGGTTAAGGTACCCGCCGGTAACAACTCGTTCGTTTTACTGCACGACCACTTCGCTTCTCAGTCGCCTCTTCTAGTCATGCCTCCCCTTAACTACCCAATGGGGTTGGTTTCAAGAATTAATTCGTTCAAATTTTCGTTTCCTTGTTATAAGAATTCATGAAATGTACAGAAAAACTAACATTTGTGTTCTATACTCTGAATTACTGATTGCAGCGCATAATGATATCATTCCTTAATAATCAGAGGCAAATGTGTGAAGCTGTTTGTTGCGCCCTGTTACTTCACTTACATTTACCAGTGATATCAGAGAGAATTCAAGGCCTAGGGAGGATCACTCTGCTTTCACCCGCCATGGTAACGCTGCAAGGGCACGAGATAGCAGCAAGTAAGCCCTTAAGGACAGAGGTGAGGCGAATGTACCAACTTCAAGTGGTTACTCCTCTGCTAGAAAAGTCTTGGATGTGTGCTGTACGATTGTCGGGGACATGTGCACTCGTGTCTCTTGTCAGTCCTGGGTGCACAAAGAATGAATGCGTCTCACTGGAAGAGGAGTGTGTCATAACTTGCGCCGCAGCAGCATGCGCATTACTGCATGAAACTCAATTCATTGAGTTTATTAAGTCTTCGTTTTACAAGCTGTAGGTTTACATTTCGTGTATTTTTCACGTTTTACATTATATCCTGAAAGAACAAACATGAACTGACACTTTCCACTAGAACGTGCTTTCTATGATTATATTGCTTTCTTTATGAAGACCTTCTTACCTACAAGTACCTAACTATGACTGAAACATGAGAAGTCTACATAGCAGGAAACAGTTCTCTGGAAAGAGACAAGCATTCAGAAACAAAAAGGAGGGTGCAAATCTCACACTAACATTTAACACCAGAAATCCCATTTGTATATCTGTTGATGCAAACCGAGAAACCAACACTTTCAAATATCTCGATGCCTCTGAAGTGAATGGCTTTGCTTTTTTAACATTTGTAAATAAACAAGCTACAAATGTATGTGTATTCTGGCATTTTCCATCCCTTACAGGTTTCATTATTTTATTTCTTTACCTGTTTTGTATACGTGTAAGATGTAATGTGCAAAATAAATGAATTAATAAATCAATTAAAATAAAAGTTATCTTATTTTTTCCTAGCAAAACGCGATGGAAAAGATGTGGCTATTTCTAGGCAATGTTAGATTTCAGTGGCATTCTGTTAGGTAACTCTTTTAATATCAGTAATAATCTTGAATGTACGTGTTCAGTAGCTGAAGCTTTATCTTCAGGGGAAGAAGGATTTGCATAGAAGTGTTTCTGATATGTTATTTGGTAATAAAAATAATTCTGAAGTATTTCGAGATATTAAATTAACCTCTAAGGGGTTTTGGGCATTGTCACACTTTCAGGCTAAATATGGCATCATTACGATACTGGCACAGTTGCAAAAATCTTTGTAAGAACGGAACAATAGAATTATGGGAAAAATTGGAGAATTTTGAGGATTGTGGGCTAGTGTCATATCCCAGTACAGTGTTATTTCAGAGTGGCACATGTTAAAGCTGTGCTAATGACAGCTGAGTCAGCAATCGGATAACATTTGCAATCATAGCAGAAATGTTTCCATAGTAGGTCACATGAAGATTGTAGCATGTTGACCCGTTGCTAAGTATTGTAAAGTAAAGTAAAGCTATCCCTGTACCAGGCCGTGAAGGCCCATAGGGTTGTGAGACGCTGAGAGTCCCACATTATCTAGACAATCGGCTTAGAGATGGCGGTTAGGTTGTCGGCCTTACGAGCCGGCCGCGCATTACTCCCAAGGAAAATTATTTAATTAATTCCTGGTACGCATTTCTGTTAGAGGCTGAGTCGACCCCGGAGGTCATAGTGCGGCTGGAAGGATTAGGTCAATTGAAAAAATCCAATGACCTCATCGGGACTTCAACCCGCGACCTTCCGGCTTGTACCATAGCCCCTCAACCAACTAAGCTACCGCGTGCCCCTTGCTAAGTATTGACTCTATTAGAAACGTCCGCTGCTAGGCAACGACCGCGGAATAAGCAACATACGGCAGCCGTTGCTGAGTAACTGTTTCGCGCAAAAACATGTTGCCTCGGCAAAGATTAAACCACAACAATGAGGAGCAGTGTTTCCTACGCTGTCAGTGCCGAGAGGTTATAAGCATGACTAAAATTTCGTCAGGAAGACCTCTACCTTGTGGAGGTGGGGTCCAATACCTCCACTGTAGTCTTGCGAGTTATAGGAGACGACGAAAGGGGAACCGAGTCCCTGGGGCTCTAATGGGGGCCACCCTGTTCCTGGGGGTTATAAATATGGGGGCATAGCCCTTCAGGTTGGGGGAGTCTCGAATCTGACACAGCAAAATGTGGTCACGGTTCTCGTGGGACTCGGACCTGAGAATGACTGCGCTGGCGGTGCCCAGCAGCAATTGTAAACTACAAACATACCGTCTCGTCAGGAAGGATGTTACATAAGGACTATGAAAGCAAGGATTTAGTTGAAAAAAATTGTTGGTTGTGAGTCTCAAGGGCTTGTTGCCAAGACGAACTTATTTCCAGTAAACTGCCAATCGCGAAGTAACTCTGACTAACTCTGATTTTAGTTAGGAATATTGAAATAAATTAGGATAAGGCTCAGGGAATCGACGTCTCTCGCAGTCGTCGACCGCCTGAGTCTCATCTTACACTGAATGGATAAAACATACCATTTGTAAATAGTGTAAAATATTTCGGTGTAATCATCTATAAGAAAGTTACATGGAGATACCCACACAAATAATCGAAGTCAAGGCCTTCAGGACATTTATGACAGTATATTCACTATTTAAAAGTGAGTGATTAAGTGCTAATATTAAATTGACCCTCCACAAAGTACTCATTTGGAGTACACCTACGTCTTAAAATTGCAGGGCCTACAAAACAACGTTCTCCCCACCACTGAACAATTTCCACAGCCCACCTCGGTCCGCGATTTGCGCACGGTTTTCAGCCTTTCATACGTATGATTATAATGAAATTATTGTAAAGTGTTTGCAGTAGGTACTTCCATGGCAACGCAATAACAGTGAGCCGTTGCGTAGACAACGCCGAAACGACGAACGAATCTCTCCGGAGGTAAACAACCGAAGACGCGTTGCGTAACAGCGGACTGTTGAAATAGCAGTAAGGGAACCGTGAGGAATGGCGTCCGGTATCCGGTCCGCAGAGGAGAAGACAGTCTTGGGATAACCGTGACTGAGGGCAGTCGAGATGCGGCATTGGAGCATTACGCCAGAAGTCAGGTGACACTACAAGCGGTGATAACTGCAAGGTGTGTAAGTGTGAGTGTCCAGTAAAGATTCGCTAAATCCGAGACCCACGTGAAGTTATTTGTCGCGTGACATACCCAACACGTGACATTATGCATGTAACAAGCAGAAGTCATACGAAATTCTGAAAAAAAATTATTTGCAATATTGGAAAAGGCGAAGCGCGACACAGGAAATACGTGTATAAGAGGCTTCAACTTGTCGGCGGTAAGGCGTACGGCGAATAAACAATTTATTTACAGAATACTTCTATAGAATAATACACAGTAATAAGATTACAGAAATCACAAATCACTTGAATCAAGACATAACAATCAGGTGTGTACCTACGATTTACTGTAAACTGATAAGCAGAGCGTTTGGTCAAAATATTTTCTTGAGACATATAGACACAGTCGCCTCTCAATTATTTAAACTACATTATTCTTAACAAATAAGCAAAAGTATTAAACAAGAGTTCTTAAAGTAAATATTTTACTTAAAGAAGCTAATATTATTATNTGAAATGCTAAAGAATATGGACCATTTTGCGAAGCTAATAGCTAGTCCGCTACTCAAGAAATTCAGTCTGATTGTGAAACCAATGTCCCAGAAGACTGCTTTCTTCATAGTCACCGCCGTGAAAGCCTCAAATCTTACAGTATTTATTACTGTTTTAACAAAATATAAGACTTTTCTACTAGTTCCTACCCTGAGCCATATGAATACAGTCTACAATGTCACAATTTATTTCATTAGCATCAAATTTAATATCATACTCCAATCTCTACCTAGGTCATCCAACTGGTGTTTTCCATTCCGAATTTTCATCTAAATTGTTTTATTGAGTTTTCTTTTTTAATGTAATTCTTTCTAGCTTCGCGATACTTCCTCCATCTATCTCCAAATATTCCTCACAATAACCTGCTCTCAAAGACCCTCGATCTGTCTTCCCCCGAATGTTTTGCACCCGTTCAAAACAACTTTTAAGATGGGTCATGTGAGTAAATTAGACGATACAGAAGCTATACTCTGAATTTTCGTGTGGATAATACTAAAATATATTACACGTATCCAGGATAATGTAAAATGGTGAGGTTTTGAATTGATGGCTTGCAAACATTTGATTCTGTCACCAGAGAGCGAAAATGCAAGTGTGTTTCTAAATACTCCATTTTTCCAACGGGGAACTGCTTCCTTAAGAACATCTGTGAGCCCTGACGTCTCAAAATCATATGGGCCTCAATGGCCTGTTGCAAGGATAGCTTTACTTTTTTTGAAACGCTAAAGAGACATAAGTCCAAAGCAAAAGATAAACTTTTATGTATTCGTTTCTCAAAATAAACAGCAGTGCCCGTTGTAACATTTCAGGTAGTACACTTACATTGAAGGCGATGATATCCTTGGCGTTATCTTCATGCGTGGCCTGTTTGATGGCCTTGTGGTGTGTTGCAGTAGCTTCTGCCGACGATAAGTATCCTGTTGCTGTCGGCGGTGGAACTCCTTTACAAGAAGTTCTTGATGGCATATGGAAAATACCTTTCGTTGCAGGGATTATCATACAAATCACAGCTATTATAAACACAATCTATACATTCTTCGTCAATATTGTGCTTACGCCCCCGGCGCTTGTGATTGAGAAAGGGGGCAACTGAAATGAGGAAATGAAACAAGCCGGATACAAACAGCACAGAATAATGAATAACCCCATGCTAAGTTTGAACAAACAAGTCGAGAGTAAATCCTGCATTTCAAGACGGGTTAAGGTACCCGCCGGTAACAACTCGTTCGTTTTACTGCACGACCACTTCGCTTCTCAGTCGCCTCTTCTAGTCATGCCTCCCCTTAACTACCCAATGGGGTTGGTTTCAAGAATTAATTCGTTCAAATTTTCGTTTCCTTGTTATAAGAATTCATGAAATGTACAGAAAAACTAACATTTGTGTTCTATACTCTGAATTACTGATTGCAGCGCATAATGATATCATTCCTTAATAATCAGAGGCAAATGTGTGAAGCTGTTTGTTGCGCCCTGTTACTTCACTTACATTTACCAGTGATATCAGAGAGAATTCAAGGCCTAGGGAGGATCACTCTGCTTTCACCCGCCATGGTAACGCTGCAAGGGCACGAGATAGCAGCAAGTAAGCCCTTAAGGACAGAGGTGAGGCGAATGTACCAACTTCAAGTGGTTACTCCTCTGCTAGAAAAGTCTTGGATGTGTGCTGTACGATTGTCGGGGACATGTGCACTCGTGTCTCTTGTCAGTCCTGGGTGCACAAAGAATGAATGCGTCTCACTGGAAGAGGAGTGTGTCATAACTTGCGCCGCAGCAGCATGCGCATTACTGCATGAAACTCAATTCATTGAGTTTATTAAGTCTTCGTTTTACAAGCTGTAGGTTTACATTTCGTGTATTTTTCACGTTTTACATTATATCCTGAAAGAACAAACATGAACTGACACTTTCCACTAGAACGTGCTTTCTATGATTATATTGCTTTCTTTATGAAGACCTTCTTACC